TAACTATGGTTACGTGTAGGGTCTCATCATAGCATAAAACATATACGGATGAATTACCACAAAAAGGGACACACACACAAGCCTTATAAACAGAATCTTAAAATCTAGTCTGGATAAATATTTCATAGTGATCACTTTGAAGCTCGTGTCAGCGACATATCGCTAATCTAAGTAAACACAAAGGCAGTTACAGGAATTGTCTTGTCTTCCACAAATGGTCGGGAGGTATTCAAGTCCAAATGGTCATAGATATTGGAGAATCAACCGGCACGCGGTAAAAATGTTGTTTCATATTTTATGGTACGATGTGGTCTGTCTTGTTGGTATATAAATCCAGTATGCTTGAAATAAATGATTCATATTGCAGAGGCTGAGATTGGTGTTCTGGCCTTAAATGGCTGGGCTAGGCAGAAAGCTGTATCAATCAGGACTCTAGACTTCTCGCACGTGTTTTATGCGTCATTGATCCGATTGGTAACTCACTGTCCTCTAATTGGCGGTATCGTTACGTCATACATTAACAGGGCACACAAGCCACAAGTTATAACAAACCTACATACGACTCATTAAGACAAGCAGGACGTGGAACGTCACGCGTTTCAAATTGAAAGCATAATCTGCTTCCACATGAACGCCGGGAGTTTATCGAATAAAATAGATGTGCTACGTAAACTCAGTAATCCTAACAATCTCCATCTGATAGGAATATGTAAAACTTGTATATTTTTTCAGTTCACGAACCAGGAGCTAGCAATACTCGGGATGTCTTTGTTTCGCGATGTCAGAAAAATAGGAACTGAAGATGGAGTAGCCTTATACTTACTATCCTGCGTGAAGGTACATCAAGTGCACAACCGAGAGTTTATCATTCTTGATGAATCCGTATCGTGCTCAGTAAGATTGTCTTCCACCTCGAGGTGTTAAGTTGGAGTCGTCAACAGGAAGCCCTTTGCTTACATCAAGTACGACAGTCGAATGCTGGGAGGATTATACCTCTCTATTCATCTCGGATTCACTCGTATCTCGATTCTAGGGAACTTAAATCTTCTTAAAGTCAATTTCACGAATCATATGTATATTGAAGGTGAAAACTCTACTGAAGCTCGGTTATTCAACCCTATTGAGGATCCGGATTATTCAAAAAGTCAACAACTTGTTAGACGAACAGTCAGACGCCGTCACACTTAGGCTGTGTACGTACAAACGAAAAATCCATAATTGATAACCTCTTAATCCTGGCTCCCTTAGGGAGATGCCATCACGCCGTCATAGCGTTTAGTTTTACCAGGAAAACTGAACTAAGACATCCCAACAACAACAGGCGCTGGTATTTCAAACGGTTGAATGTATTAGCTTTACAGGACAATCTACAACAGATGGAGTAGGAAATTCCCCCTTAACTTGATACGGGATTTCTTACTGCACGCACTCTTATGTGCTACAAAGCAGTCAGTTCCTCGAACGGTCCCCAATAACTACAAGCAACCTACAATCATTGAGAACCTCACTCTTCGTTTGTTAAGCCCCAAAAGGCACTGTTGGGCAGAATACAAACGAACTGATAACAACGGTGCGTACAGGCAATACAAACATATCAGGAACATATGCATGAAAGCAATAAGAGAGGACAGACTTCAGTAACAGATAAAGCTTAACTCCAATGTGAAAAGCTTATTCCGTTATGCAGCCTCTTTTCGACAAGACAAAACTGGTGTTCCCCAACCGTTAGGTCATGATAGCCTGACTAATGGTGACGGTGACGCCGCTAACCTTCTAGCTGAACGGTACTCTCGGACATTTCAACCAACCTACATTAAATATATTGGTGAAAGCTACCGGAAACTACAGCACCTATAAAAGGACACTTTTCTGGTTCGGATATGGTTCATTCTGCTATACTGAGGGAAGCAGCTTCAATCCTGTCAACATCGCTTAGCGTCATGTTCTCACATTCGCTAAGCCGAAGCATATTACCGGAAATTCGGAAGATGGCCGTCATCACACCGATCTTCAAAGGACGTCAATGCAGCGAAACTTCAAGTTACCAAGCGGTAGCTCTTCTCCCTATACCTTCAAAAATTATGGAGTCCCTGATATGCAATGATATACACGAATATGTATTAAATTAAATTTCTTTTCACCCCAACAACGTGGTATCAGGAATGGTCTTTCTTGTATAATCAACCTGGTAACTTTGATGGACAGATGGACAACCATCCTTGATCGCAAGAGGAAGGTTGACGTCATTTACATTGACTTATCAAAAGCTTTTGATAGGGTCAACCATATATGTCTTATCAATAAGCTCAAACATTTGGGTGTCGAATCACCTTCAAATGGTTGGCCCACTTTATATCTAAAAAATCGACATTTCAATATCAGGGTTAACCTCACTTTAACTCAGGCTATGGAATCTCCTAGTGGGGTCTCACAGGGTTCAGTACTAGGACCTCTTTTTCTGATTCATATAAACGATCTTCCACACCAAGTACCAGCAGATTTATTACTTTTTGCTGATGATGTGCAACTTTGGGGAGAGATGAGCAACCAAGAAGACACACTGTCACTTCAGTAGGATCTGACCCGATTTCAAAGTTGGGCAGATGATAAGGGACTAAACTTTAGCACTTCAAAGTGTTAAGTAGTTCATCTGAGACACGTTGCAGACTACGGTTACGACTTAGCAAACTCCTCTATAGAAGTATCCCAAGTTGAAAAATATTTAGAAGTGTTGGTACCCTACGATTTGAAGTCTCACGCTGTGACAAAAATGCTTTTCGAGCAAACCTTCCACTGGTAACATTGAAGCGCGTTTTTGGCCAGTTTGACGGAAGAACTTTCCACATAATCTTCAACAGTTTTATTCGTCCCAATTTAGAGTGCGGAAGCATGGTATTTCCTCCCTCACTCCAAAAGGATAAGGGCACTCCGGAGCGTATCCAAAGGCGAGCCACGAAATCAGTTCGGGAACTCAAATTCAAGCCCTATGAAGAGCGCCTCCAATCACTAAACCTTTACCCATTAGAGCATAGGCGTCTTAGAGTTGACCTCCTAATGGCTTCCAGTATGCTTAACACTTTTGAACATCCCCTTAAACACTTACTTAAGTTTAGCTCCAAAACAAATCTTAGGGATGACACCCATAAACTACAGACATAACACAGCAGAACAAACTGCAGACACAACATCTACTCCTTAAGAGTTGTAAAATGCTGGAATTCGCTGCCAGCTGAGCTAGTCCAAGCGACTTCCCAGGAGGCTTTTAAGAGGAAACTTGAACTAAGGATAGTATGTTACTATGATTTCAGTTTCAGTTTGGGAAGGACAGGAGGCCCGATGGCCTGTGTTAGTCCTGGGAATGGTGGTCCCTCAGTTGATCCAACTTTCTTTTGAAAGAATCGACGGATGTAGCCTCAACCACGTGCTGAGGTAATGAGTTCCACTCGTTGATGATTCGATGGGAAAGTCGATAGTCAGCTGACAAGTAATTTGTTCTTGGCTTGTGAACTTTTTTGGAGTGTCCTCATAAATTCTGTTTTGGAAGACAAGAAAAATGAGGGCATATTAGGTGCAAATTTATCACTAAGCAATTTGTAGACTGTAATCAAGTCGCCTCTAGTTCTGCGATATGACAACGGGAAAAGGTTCAGCTTGGCCAGTCGAACTTCATACGACGACAGGTAGCTCAGTGTTATTCATCGTGTATGTATCTGTGCCTTGATGACCGACATGCATCACAACACACTTGGAAGTATTTATCGGCAACTGCCAGGTTTGAGACCATTCAGATAACTTTTTCAGGTCATTTTGAAGTTCTAAGCTATCACTCTTACATCGTATCGTTCTCCATATCTTGACATCGTCAGCATATAGCAAGACCGATGATGATAGGAGACGAGGAAGGTCATTTACATACAAGAAAAATAGCACTGGCCTCAAAACTGTACCCTGGGGCACTCCACTAAGCACAGTTCACCAGCTTGATAACTTTGAGTTCACCAGAACTCTTTGTTGACGCCCAACTAAGAGGTTTTTTATCCACATAAATAGATTGCCTCCAATCCCGACATTTCTTAACTTATACAACAGCCAATTGTACGGAACCTTGTCAAAAGCTTTGCTGAAATCAATGATGGCTACGTCTACAGGTAACTTTTGGTCCTTAGGAGCGCACCAGCTTTCACGAGCCACTAATAAGTTAGTGAGACAAGAGTAACTTATTCTGGAACCGTCCTGCTTCTCCGAAAGGATCCGGTTTTTATTGAGATACTTAAACAGCTCATTTCGAATAATCTTTTCTAAGATTTAAAAAACCATACTAGTTAGGCTAACGGGGCGGTAATTCTCAGGTTTGTGTTTCGTACCTGTTTTGAAGACAGGACTTACTATGGCGTTTTTCCAGTCTTTGGGTAAACGACCCTGTGTTACGGGTAGGTTAAAGCATATACTTAAAGGGTTCGCAACGAAGTTAGATAATTCCTTCAGTAGCCTAGGATGTAATTCATCAGGCCTCGTGGATTTACCTATGTCAAGCTTATTTAGTAGACCAAAGACATCGAGTTCTTTAGTGGTCACGCTATCCAGTGTATGTGTGGGGGGATCTGTATGCGCTGATGGGAAAGGTACTTCTATGGTGTATACATTGCTAAAGTAGTTTGAGAACACTTGAGCCTTTCCAAAGTCGTCCTCCACTAGTGACACGGCAGTTCTGTCTCCCCACAGCGCAGGAATATTTCATCTTCTCTTTTTCCTTTGGTTTATATAAGAATACAAGCGTTTAGGACATTCTATGGATTCCTTAACAAGTTTTTCTTCGTACAACTTTCTAGACTTACCAATCTCTTCTTCTTCTTTTATCATTAATATAACTAGATTATTGCATGAAGGTATTGGTGATCCATTGTTACTAGACACGGAAGCCCGTTAATCGAAAGCTTCTTCTATTCCGTTCACAACCACTTGAATCATTTGAACTTTGTTGTTTTAACTTTTCTTTAAGATGACCATGAACAATTCAAATAAACAAGAACACTGATGGGGTTCACATCATTTTCGTTGTATGTCAACTAATTTGTTTTTGTTTAGTGACCCTCTAAAAGTTTTCTTCTTATATATTCCCAATGCTTAGTTGTAAAACTTTCAGAAGGAGATGTCAGTGAGTTGAATAATGTTGAGGAATTTGTTGGTGACCAGTAAGTAGGCTTTATAATATTTTCATATTTTGTTGATAGATCAAAATATCATGACATAAATGATAATGTGAAGTAGGTTTTACTTTTTTACTTTAACTTTACGGGCGATTATAGTCTTGGTGACAAGGATGCTCAGTCTGTTCGGAATCCGGAGGTGAGTTCAGAGTAATACTTTACTCCAAATGATTGGATGATGTAGTTGCTAGTTGGAAAAGCTCCAAAACATAGTATATGTTATCTCGGAGAGCACTGAGTAATGTTTAGGTAACATGTCTTCAGAACATTTCATAAATTATAAGTTTGAGTATGCAGATCTAGGGATGTTCTGTGATTCTTTTGATACACGATCTTTCGACTCAGGATAAACAAAATAAAATCTATGATATTTTTCATCTCTACACAATGTGGGTCATATCTGGTGAAAACTCAATCAATCTGATCTAAGAAAAAGCTTGTGTAGGAATTAAAAACGGACTTTTCTTAACTTCCTTGTTAATATCACTATCATCATAATTAAAAAACTGATGGAATACCTTTATTTCGCTAACTCCACATAGATAGATTTCTCAGGGTGATTTTTACCGTAATTTGCCTATTACTTGCAACTATATTGATGCAATTAATTTTTTACTAATCTTTGGGTAATCGGTCTTATTCAGACACATAGCACTTCGATAGACCAGGAGAAAAATGTGGTTCTCAGACGCAAAGCTTCTGAGTCACTGGATTCATCAGAGAATCAAGAATCTCCAGGGGCAGGTCAAACATCAAGTGAATCCATAATCCCTCCTGGAACAAATCAGGAATCAGCTGGACTTGACCACAAAGATGTTCAGGAGTCTATTCTAGAAGAACTTCCTTCATTGGATTCAGTTGCTGCAGAAGGTATTAACACACATGAAATCCCGACTTTCAATGAATTCCATGCAATGGTTTCAGAAAGGTCACAATCACGTAAAGGGCAAGGTTCGTGTGTTTCAGTTTTGTTTGTCAATTACCGAATTCTGATATCTGCCATATCTTGAGAGGCTGTATTCATATCATTGTATTAGTTGCATATTAGGTATGTTTTTGATAACTGGAAGACGAAATTGTGATCAAGGCGTGAGATACCTTCATGCCGTATGATTTTAACTCTAAACATTTTGCACTGCTTGATCACTGGTTGGTAACTGAATAGTCATGAAATTGATCGCTAGCGAGGAGGCAATCTATGAGAATCTCAGTCTTAAGGAGACTTGTCACAATCTGGCCAGTTCAGTGGTAACGTCTTTGACATTAAGGTAGGTGCTGCATGTCCACCAACCCGGTTTAAGCGTTAGACATTCGCTTTTCGTTCTCTCAATTTCGTAAACACTCATCATAATAAGGCAATGAGTAGGACTTCTGTTACGGTGGCTGTATACGCATGGCCATGTGAAAGCATTTGAATGAGAACGGACTCTCCCCACACAATCATATCAGGGCATTTGGCAGCCAACATAAGTTAATTGAGTCATTGATATGTGATAAGAATTAAGGGTGAGGCTCTAATTTAGGGACGACCTTTGAACGAATCTTAAATGACCCTGACAATTATCAGCCAATCAGAAGACAGTTAGTGTAAAGTGAAAATATATTATTAGAAAGTAATGAATTACAGTGGATATTGTTCTGTCACATGATTTAAAAACTTGTTAAGGTTTGATAAAGATTCAAAGGTTCTGAATTCATAATGAATATGGTATAGAAACTCGTCTATAGGGTTAGGGTTAGGGTTGTAGCCTCTCAACAAACACCTCTCCTCTAAAATCCTCTGTGAATCGATCGTATTTTAGCGCCGCGTGTTGAACTTGGCTCCGTAACCTTGAAATTGCTCAAACGCTTCTGATTGGCTCGTCCCTAAATTAGAGTCTCGCCGAATTAAGTTCGGTAATTAAACTTTAATTTATCATACTAGTGACCTACAAAATCCATATATTCCAGTCACTTGTATTTCAAATGAGTTCTAATCGTGTGTTTTTGAGAATAATATATTGTATGTAAGCATATTCTTTCGCTATTGAAGGAAACCTATAATGCTACCAGCTGTCTTGTTTTCTATTATCTGTTCATTTGTAGGCTCGCATTAGTAATTTAGTTTCATGAGACATTGTCGTTGAATATCAGTTGAGATTCTTTTCATCGATTCATACAATCTCCAGTCTAATAGTTTTCCACTTTGTAAGTGTAAGTGCCATAGGAACTACGTTAAAAACAATAATTATGAAAATGGTCGGCTTTATATAATAATGTCAGTTGCTTTTTGGTTAAAATACCCGATTTCCAGCTATTGGGTTGCAGTTTCAAGCTTTTCTGTATCTAATTTTTGAACGGTTAGATAGTATAAATGCTCACATAACTAGTCTGGCTGCAGGCGTTTAGTGAGTGAGCTACATTCATTATTTACATATTTTTGAGGCTAATATCAACAGTATTTAGGGTAAAATAGTACTAAAACTACCTATATGCGATTCCGATCATTTATTTGTTAAGAGGTATCTTTACTTATGCTTAGTTCCTGATAATTTTTTCGATTTAGATTGTGACGTTGTCGGAAATGTTGGTGTGACCGATTCTGACTATGATGTCAATATTAAACAAAAAATTAAGGCTTCACAAATTCCTCAGGGATCCGAAAAAATACTGCAAACACATAGTGATGTTAATCCATCGGTTAAATCTGCGAAAAATCAAATAGTTCAAGATGTATCAGAAAAAAGTGTTTTCACAGATGATAGTTCGTTTTCCGATAATATCCAGAAAGATTCTGTTAGTGAACAGCATCAGTCTTTGCAAGTGAATTCTGTTGTGACGTCTAACTCAGAAACAAATTCCAAACCAAGTCCTCATGTTACTTCACAACCTGTAATTACCGCCACCACCACCACCACCGCAGCAACAACAATAACTAACAATGATGCTGTTCATACACCAAACAAAATTGACTTAACTCTTCGGAGAAATGTCGCTTCTGTAGCATGTGGTGCAAAGATGTTAGGATTCAGTAAAGCGATAAAAAACCCTGAGGCTGTACTCAATGAAAACAATGATGAATATATGAATGTTCCGTGTAGTGAAGAAAAATGGTAATACCTTAAATATGTATATATACTTGTATACTATGATTTGTGAAGTCTCTTCATGTATCCGTTTTGAATTATTGTTAAGCATAACAGGCATTGTTTTTGTGATTTTCGTTAAATTATTTATTATTTTTTTCATAGAATAGCAGTTTTGGTTCATAAAGTTGTAGTATGTCAGGGTTTTTTGAACGGCATTTCACAAAGTAAATGATATTGGATCCTTCAAATGTATAACACTTGAAATTTGTAAATAGAAGTAAGGCAATAGCGACTTATCGGGTAGTGGCCTACTTCCAGCCAGTGGTCTACTGGCTGGAACCCTGGTTCACTTACTTAGGTTTGGAGAGTGTGTATCGTCACTAGCTGATATTTTGAACCGATTAGATAATGGCCAAATAATAAGCCCATGCGGCCCCCAAATGCTCTGGTACGGTCAAGAGTGGGGAGAGCCCGCTCTCCCTCTCGAAATGCTCCCACATGGCCACGTGCATACAACCACTGCCAGGGAAGTCCTACTCACTGCCTTCTCGTGGCATTACTGTTGTTTACGAAGTTGAGAGGACGAAAAGCGGACGTCCGGCACTTTAACCGGGTTGGTTGATATCGAGGATCCACCTAGGGGATTTGGAAAACCCTGATTCCAAACCAATGATGCACATGGGCTGGCTCCAGTATCCTGAAGAAACAAATGGCGTATGAACCAATCATTGGTCACCAGCTACCATGGGACTGAATCTCCTTACGTTGCTCCATTGCTCTGTGGATCGGACCTTCATGTCGAAGGCTCCGGGTGTGGTCCCCTAAGAAATCCACCTGTTTTGATTTGGGCATCCGGGCCGTATCACAGTCCTCACACATATCAAATGAGATATGTGTGGCGCATATGTGTTTGGTGCCTCCTTGTACCAATATCTATGTGTTAAAATAAATAAATAAGTCCATGCGAAGTGCCATGGCGTGGTGTCCTTTCCTATGGAATGAGATACTCCATCGGCGGAAAAATGTGGCTTAAATTTCTAAGAGATATAAATATATATATTTATATGTATATGGATATGTGAGTATGCAGTTACTTCTCGGTTCAGTTGGCCAATAAAATAATTTTTCTTGACTTTTATTCTTCCCACTTAAGTAGCCGGTTGGTCTTGCGAATGGGAAGCTCGTTTATCAGTATCCTAATTAGACACCACCCAAGATTACGCTAACATTTGTAGAAAATGTTACTCAAAGCTAGGTACATAGATCTGCATTTGATTGATTGGTTGATTGTCTGATCGGAATGTGTCAACTGTTTTGTTAGTCGATTAATATTAGAATCTGCTAGGAGCATTAGTAGCTCCGATGTTACAAATAAATCTTACCTTTGAATAAAAGTAGCCTTGGAAGCTTGGTCTAAATATACTGTTGATCGGTAGAATTCAATTACTATCACAGATTAAACGACACAGAATTAGTCATTAACTATTGATTGATGTAAATGTAAGATTTTTGAAATATAAAGTAGGCTATCCAGAAAATCTATTATTAATGGCTGAACAATTCAATTAGCCGCTCACTCTACAAAGGCTTTCTATATAACTTTAAAGAATAATGTCATTTATCAGTTCAAATGCATCTTATTAAACGTTTATTCGAGGTGTTGTCAGGAAGTATGCACAAGATAGCTCAATTCAATGTCTACATATTTCTAGGTATTAATTGATGTCTTGCCTGTTTTGAAATAATAATAAAGTATATTACAATTTTTAATTTTAATAGGTTAATTCTAGAAGTGTGCCAACCGGTTCATCTACGGACTATAGAACTAGCAAATTTTGAACTATTTTCATCACGGTTGAAATCGTTTCGAGTTTATGCTAACGATCGGTAAGGTATTTTTTTTAGAAATTCAACTATTAATATGTACAATCGGTTAGTTTTTGTCTACTAGAATTGATAGGAATTACTTTTATAGATAATGAATAGTGCAAACCAGTATGGGTAAAGTAAATGATTGATTAGAATTATTATTTACGATACTTGATCTAATATTCTCCAAACTGGACGGTTCTATCATGAGTCTTTCATTGTTTTTCGACGTGACATCAGCTGATACTTTGGAAAAAGCATGTGCTAATTATATGAAACAGGTATCACTGATAGTGGAATTTCATCTTAGCCTTTCTACGAAATAAAATCTCTGTTGTTTTAAAACTACTAAGAATTCTCTTTCGAAACAATTGCAGATATCCAGCAAAGTCCTGGGAATTGATTGGTACATTCACCGCTCGAGATGTTAAGGGAATACAGTCTTTCAGTGTTTATAGTGGAAAAATGATCAAATATGTTAAAGTAAGTTAATTGTATTTGAATTATAGTCGTTAGTCGTTCAGTTGAAAAGAGATACTATTTATAGTTATATTTGACTAGGTTTTCGTTTAAAGATTAAGAACAATAAATACGTTTTCACGTCGTTAGGTTCTCATTCATTTTTGCTTACAATTTGTGATGTTTCAAAGTCGAAATAGAGTTTAAAATACTTACAGAGATAAATTTTTGTTCGAAGTTAGTGGAAACTCATACCAGCTTTCTGTAGTGTAACTTCCCTACCTTTTGCTTCATATATTTACTAAGATAATTTGTGGAGGTGTATACAGTACGACGATATTTCGAATGAAAAGATTAAGAGAGATTTCATCCATTCAAGAAGGTTGGTCCTAATTTTATGAAAAAGTATAATAAAATGCTAGTGATATGATCTTCATTGGCTTTTATTTTAAGTCATGTTGGATAAAGTATCGAGACACTAAGTTGCTTAGACTTTGGGATTTCATCTGGGGAGTTATATTGGACTAGCAAGTGTGCGAAATTCTTCAGAGATACTAATGATTAAACATAGGGCTACCAAAAATTGTTATTTTGAAGGGATTAGGTTTAACGAGCATATAATAAGATTGCTCTGAGTGTATAGGCCTCTACAGCTTTCACTGCACATAGATTGATCTCGTTTGTCAACACCAGGACCCAAACGGGTTCCTACATGCATAAACTTTCCAACTATTTTCAAGAAGAACCAATAAACATTTAACATGGATACACCAGCTCTTCTTCATCCTTGTAAAATTGATTTGAATTTCTATGGCTTCAACGTGCACATGGCTTACTTACAAACAATAAATTGTCGTTAAGCAATGGAATTAGATGATAATCATCACTATCTTTCCAGCTGACTGAATTTGAAAAAAGTACGAACCATTAAGTTTTTTTTATGGCACTAATAGTTATAAAGGGTTATGTTTCTCACCTGATAACAGCGATCATATATATATATATATATATATATATATATATATATATATATATATATATATATATATATAGTGTCTACCACGTGATTTTACTTATGAATGATGATGTGTCCTCTTGAAAAAAAACAATAGTGATGCCCTATACAGATTATGCAATGTGTATGTCATGAACACAGTAATAGTAATAGAGGTGAGGACAGATGTTGGAACTTATGTTTACAGAACAAACAATAAAGTTTATCGTTTTTATTTAAATAGAATTGAATGCGAATTTTAGGCTTTTTTTCTGTGGAAGGAACTAATTATAAGAGGAAATGGTCAACATCTTTTTTTGAAGCTTTATCTAATCTACAGTCCAGCTGAATGTATTGTGTAAAGTATCTTAACATAGTGGTCTAGCTTCAATTGACTCATGATTTCAATCAGTGAAATTTCTAAAATCTCTACAAACCCCTTCTGATAATAGTTTATTAGCCAAATCACATAGCCTTCAAGTTGGAACCCCACTCAGTGGAACGGCGACTCAGTGGCTAAAGCGCCTAGTTTTCAGCCACTAGGTATCAGGTTCGAGCCCCGCTCCACCCACTTCAGTTTGATCAACTAGATAATATCACTAGCCCTCACATTTGGAGTTTGACTTAGAACTAAATACAGTAGTGTGCACCAAGATATCGATTTACTATTTAGAATTCTGTTTAAACGGCCGGATATGACTATCCCTTCAGTGGTTAAATATGGTTGAAAGCCTAGTACATAAAGCTATAATTTGTGAGTTACATTGACTATTATGTTGAGTTTCAAGCCTGCATAGTAGTTTTTTAGTGATAAGGTATTGTATTGAGAAATACTACGTCTTCCTATTGGTCCAAAATGTTTACCTCTTTTTTTGATACAGTTCGAATTGACTGAACACTATGGTTCAGAACATTATTGTCCCTTAACTATGATTAGAATATTCGGTTTGGGTTCCGATGATTTAGATGATGATGACGATGTTGATGATGTTGATGTTAGATTAATGAATGTGCCAGAATCTACTTCGAATCATGATCCGACGATTACTTTGACTAAGGATAAAAATCAACATTTGGAAAATCAAGAAAATGATATTATTACTAAAGACAGCAACGCAAGTATGTTGTTTGACATTATTGCTTTTTTAATTAATAACACCTGTTCGTTTTCACATATGTAGCAGTTATTCCAGTTAACCCTAAGTATACTATCGAATCAGTTAGGATTGCGAGTGAATCTAATATCGTGGCACTCATATCAACCTAGTATGACATTTATCAAGCCAGGATCTTGATCGTTGGTCGTACAATGGCTGATTTCGTACAATAAAATATCAGTTACTTACAAAACGTTTTGTTACGAAAGTGGTACACTCATATGTGAATAAGAGAGGGAAATGACGATGTATAATTGCACAGAGACACGAGATGGAAGGATATTTCGCTGTTATATTTGTCAGGGTTAATATTGATTGTAGAATTAGAATTTAGGGTTAGAATTGTAGTTATTTTGTGTTTAGGATTAGGGATTAGCATGTATATGAACTAGATGTCAATCCTAACTTTTGACCATAGTTATTCCTCAATATTATGTTATATGACTGTCATTGATTGCCTAACACTATACTCTCAAAATTATATCTTAAAGACTATCATTTACAAAAAGAGCTGTTCAATTGTACTGATACTTAATTTAAAACAAATATTAATCTGCTGTGTTCTCGTACACTGTTAATTTAATAAATGTTTAGTCCTTCATGAAGTATTCATAAATCACCTGAATTAAGACAATAAGTTGTCTGTTAAAAGAACAGAGATTGATTAAACTCACTTTGGAATAACGGGAATACGAAAAATACATACACACACAGACTTATAATAAATAATAATTGGAAAATGTTCATTATTATTTATTATATTTTCTTATTCTCTTTCTCCTGTTTTATATACCCAGAAAATGAGCCTAAAGATGATCAAACTTCATTGAACACTAGTAGTAGTAACGATGGTATGTATGATACTATAGAGATAATGGAAGACAACAATCACCACATGGTCAATGTCAGTACATATGATCCCGAACTAAAACCAACTAATTTAGATCTGACCAGTGAATATTATCCTAACAATCGGATTGACGATCATGATCATGAACACGTTGTTACCAAGTTGTCTAATATTGATTCTACTAACAGCGATTCATCTGTATATTCCTCGACTGTATCCCACACGGATGATACCACTTCTTCTGATCATCATAAATTATTGAGAGATCGAAGTAAGAAACATTCGGGACGAGCAACCACTGAAAAAAATATCGAAAATCACAATGATAATTATAAAAATAAATTTTGTGGGAAAATAGATCCTATCAAGGTATTTCATAAACCATTTTGTCCAGGTGAGTGTTGTCGGTCTTTATTTTCCGTTAGACCTTCAGATTTAAAAGTATCTGATACTCTTTTGTTTTACGATTCTATTCTTCTTTAATCATGTTGTTTATGTTTAGTTTTTTCTACCAACATTGGTTATGTTAATACCTTTAATACTTTCTCGTATTTGTCTTGATAATTTCATCTTTTTGTGTTGGTATGGTGACTTGGACCGATATGGATTTGTGCTAGGTTCTGTAATGTTTCTGGTTGATTGACTGTCTAAGAGATAATTTCCTACTATTTATTTTATTTAAAGATATAAACATTGTTTCAAGAAGACACCAAATATATATACGCCACACAAGTCATTTAATTTGTATGTGGGTTGTAATACTGCCCGGACGCTCAAACATCTCACACGATATTAGTAGTATAGTTTATTTTTATGTATCATTTCACCTTAAGTTTAGCTGAAACAAAATATCATTGTCATGAATTATATTGTATGTACAAAAAAGGTTAATTTGTGTACTGCTTCTATTGTTCTGTTATTAACAAACTGATAATGATAAAGATAATTCTATTCTGTATTAGTGAAAGGATTGTAATATTTGTAAATTGCGTCAAATAATACACTCTAGGTTCAATCTGGCTTATTTGTTAAGATTAAATCAGCCTATTCGTTTCTTCAGCAGTGATACGATAGTTATCGTCTGATGTTCCAAGTTTGTCGCTTACAATACTAGACTGTATTTCGTATTCATATCTTCTACTTTTGCCAGGAAACCACAGACATTTTTAGCTTTTATATAACAGTGAGATGGTTTATTCTGTTCAAATATTCTCTGTAGACTTTCACAGCATTCCTCAATACCTCTTTTATTCATTTTTGCTAAAGTTTCTCAATATTGTGTTATGAAGTGTTGTTTCATGGAGTAGTTTACTTGTAAACAACATGTAGATGATGTTAAAATATCGTATCGTTAAGCATAGAATCACAACAAGTGTATAAGATCAGTGGTTATCCGCACAGGAATGTTGAAGGCCTCATCTCTATAGTGTTACTCTGCAGTGCACGCGTAGCGGGTGTAAACGAAGTTTTCATGATATACTCAAGAAAGTGAAGTGTATTATTGCATCGTAATATCTCGTAAATTTATTAAGTGTTTAAGCCACAATGGTATGTATTTGTGACGACTAATAATATTATTACGTTGTAAAGATCTTAGTTACTTACTTATTTACGCCTGTTACTCCTCATGGAGGCACATAAGTCGCCCACCAGCACTCTCCATCCAATCCTGTCCTGGGCAATCCTTTCCAGCCCTTCCCAGTTGTTATTCATCCTTTTCATATCTGCTTCTGTTTCCCGACGTAATATGTTCTTTGGCCTTCCTCTTCTCTTCGGGATTCCAAGATAGAGCTTGCCTCGTGATGCAGTTTGATGATCTGTGTAATGTATGTCTTATCCATTTCCATCATCTTTTCCTAATTTCCTGTTCAGCTGGATGCTGGTTTGTTCTCTCCCAGAGAAGGCTGTTGCTGATGGTATCCGACCAATGGATGTTGAGTATCTTCCGTAGACAACTGTTTATAAATACTTGTACCTTCTCGATGATGGTTGTAGTTCTTCACGTTTCAGCTCCGTACAGTAGAACCGTCTCGACGTTCGTATTGAAGATTGTGACTTTGATATTGATCGAAAGTTGTTTTGAGTTCCATATTTTCTTAAATTCTAGGAATCCGGCCATTGCTTTGCCAACAGATCTTGAACGAATTTCTTAAAGAGAGCAAAAACAAAGATGGGTGCAGAATAATAATAGTGAAAAATTGTTTGTTTCGGATAAATAGATAAAGTTTGAAGGGGAAAATTCCACAACACTGAACTAGTGATTGAAACTCATAGAGTCAACAAACATTTGATGTTTATGTAATGAAGTAACTGAAAGCAGATTAATGGTAATAAAGATATAAATTGAAATCAATCACTTATAAATTAAAGAAAAATGACAGTGATGTAATCAGACTTCAGAAAGGGTTGATATAATGAACGAATTTCAGTCTCATGACTCAAAGTGGTAAATCTCTAAACAATTGGTTACGCCTCATTGTTGGGACCTTAATATTCAATTTTCAACGTTAGCTGTTTGATTTTCTTTATATGCTTCTCACACCTTTAGTGTATGACTGACTGATATATTGTTATCGTATTATGGTTTGTTCAACGGAATTGTCTGTACATGGGATGAAGATTTCTTGTTAGTCATAATCTGTAATTGGGTTCAAGGAGACATTGTGATCCAGAACCACTCACAACTTTTAGTTCAATGTTATTCCACACTTTCCATCCTTCTATCTCATCCATTCCTTGTAAACACTTATATTGTTATACTATTACTCTTCCTTTCTATGACTCTGATTCTGTTAATTTTCCTTCTCACTAAGTTGATGCCTTGGTATTACTGATGTTCGTAAGAGTCCGCCTCCTTTCTTTCGAAACGTTTTCGTCTGACCAGTGCTTACAGTTTCTGCCAGGAAATTTATACTCACTATCCTCACTCTGTGGGGGATGTTGTTTAAGAAAGTGAGAGGATAAAAAGAGAAAGTTCGGTGCTTAAACTGGATTAATGGATACAGAATGTGAGAACCCTGATTCTAAACCAGTTTCGTACATGGGCTCAATGATTCCTAGGGAACAAATAGTGTGTAAACCTGTTTTTGGTCACCGGCTACTACGGGGCAGCATCTCCAAACGTTCCACTACCTTGTGGAATAGACCTGATGACTGAAGGATGGATAGTGATCGTCTAAAAGAAACACCCGCTCCGGTTTGGGTGCTCTGGCAGTACCCTAGCCCACGTGGAAATTCTATTTTGTGTAGCCTATTCTGATTTTGGTGCTCATTTGTGCCAGATTTTTTGGGAGCTATGTAGATGTATATTAAAAGAGCATTTAAAGGCGTTAGAACTAATGTCAACACATTAAGTCACTGACTGATTAATTTGTTCAGGTCAGGAGATGCAAACTTCCTAATCTGGTTAGAAATCCTGGATAATACAACTCAATGTTGGTCGAACGGACATAGATTCATATGTTGGTTCATCAATTTTTTCGAATGCTTTGATGTAATATCAAGCAGTCTCATATTTCTGGTACTCTAGTGTTCAATATTTCTCCAATTAAAGTCAGTCTGTGATGTGAACAAATTAAATTCACTTGGTCATAAACAACATAGAACCTGACACATATCCGGATTTATCCGGATCGCCACGCTATATAAACACGGCAAGATGAAATTATCTAAATAAATTCAAGAGCGCAGTAGAATTAGCAACAGTATTAATGGTATTAAAAAACATTAGAAATAGACAATATGTTTTGAAAATAAAAAAAATAATTCGCGGAATAAAAGATAATAATTTTGAAACTCAGGATCTAGACTGCAGACAGAGTAAATGAATCTGTCCCATTACGACCATTTGTAAGCTGTGCTACTTAGCATAAATGTGATTATAAATAGTGATTTGTATACAAGATATTATTCTATAGTCATTGGCGCTCGTTCTTAATGAAATTTTATTTATTTGACACATAAACATTGATACAATGGAGTACCAAAATATGTTAACGCTGCACAATTTTTATGTGTGGGCTGGGATACTTCCCGGGTGCTCAAACCGAAGGTGATTCTTTTAGAGTACCACTCCTCGAGCCTTTGACCCAGAGGTCCGATCCATAGGGTAGTTGAGTAACGTTCGGTGATAAGGTCTCATGATAACCAGTGATCGGAAATGGGTTCACACCCCATTTCTTTATCAAGAGTTTGCAAGCTTATTTCCACCATTGATTTGGAACCAAGTTTATCCAACTCTCCTAGGTGGATGCTCTGTAATCACCAAACCAGTTTAAGCACCGGACATTCGTTTTTCATCCTCTCAATTTTGTAAACAACAGTAATGCCACGAGAAGGCAGTGAGTACAACTTCCCTGAAATTAATTAATTTGAATTCTTTAAAATAATGTAGTTTTGTTTATACTTTTTTTTTTAGCTGGATCCATACTGTATCGTTCTATAAATCATATCAATGATCATTCTATAACAACTACTTGTCATACTTCTAATGTTGCAAACAGCGATTCACCAACTCCACATGAATCTGATTTTTATCCAACTATAAATATTCGTGCTAAAACATCAGCTACAATGAAATTATCATCGCCTATTGTTAAAATTAAACAAAATAATAAATCATTACAAAATATGAGTACAATTAATTTAACATCACAATTACATAATAAACTATTTAATCAAGCTCTTAATCAAATGAACTTTTTTACTCGTTTGACAAGTAAGTAAACTTGAAAAAAAAGATTAGATAACTTCGTTTATTTGATGAACTCTATTTCTTATAACTTATGGTAACTGTATATTATCATACGATAAAGTCATCAATCAGAATCCCTGTTTCTATGACGTATTATCCCTGGTTTGACCAATTACATGTCCAGCTAGTACTAGTAATCTTGATTCAATTGATAATTCCTTATTGGTCCAGAATTCAGTAATCAACCTCCACTATACGAATATTATATTTCAAGCATATGAAGTTTATGTACAGACATGCGACCAAATCACATTATAAAGTGAAAAGCAACAATAATACTATGATCAAGTCAAAATGTGGTTGTGAGTAGGGTAGACTGTAAGTAACAAAATGTCAACAGATTAAGGATAGTAAGTCGTATAACAGTAGTTAATGGATCAAACGAAAAATTATTACTAAAGGTATATATATATATATATATATATATATATATATATATATATATATATATATATATCAAACCCATGATTTTCTGTCCGTACATGAATGCTTAACCTCTAGACCAATGAGTCGAGATCCAATGGTGGTAGTGTCCAGTGCTTCCAGGTTCTCGGTGGTGGCCTCATAATTGGCTGTGCAAGTATAGGGCTTTAGATAGTTGTTCACTTGGTTGATAAGTCACGTTTAAAAAAATCTAATCAAAGATTTGTTTATATTTCACTCAGTTTATTACTTGACATCAGTTCGTTCCTGATTTAGTTATGGCCACGCTTATGTTTTCCGTCAATTCTTGTACTTCTAACATTTTGTCGATAAGAAATTTGATAACTTGAATATTTTAAAGGGAGTAAAAACGAAGATTGGTGCAGAATAATATGAATTCATTTTGTTTCATCAGGTTTTCATCAGTTGCATACATTCTATAATATTTTAAAGTCAACGTTATTACAGATATTGACATACTTATACATAAGAGGGTGATTAAATCTCAATATATGTATCATGATGTAGCCAAGATTTCAAGAGTTAATAATGTCATAACAATTTTGTTTCGAATAACTAAAGTTTGGAACGGAAAGTTCCATAACATTGAAATAGTTATTAGATGATTATGTAATTAAGCGACTGAAAATAGATTCATGATAATAAAGAAGGATATGAATTGAAATCAGTCAGTTATGAATTAGAGCAAATGACAATGATGTAATTTAAACTTCAGAAAGAGTTAAAATAATGGGTGACGTAACAAATAAAAAGGGGGGTTAATGTTATCAGGATAAAGAAAGATTTATTACTGTCTCTTTTTGTATACATAAATCTGGTTTTAGTCGTTTGATTGCTATTGCTTCGGCAAATTTCAAAAGGTTGGAGTTTGATTGTTTGTTAATCACCTTGAAGGACTTCGGCGTATCGACGTATCCTATGTCAAGATGTCTTGTGAATGCTTTTAGTCCATCTGATCTTAAACTTTTCGGAATATGTTATTTGAGTCGAACGTAGGCTCTCATTTCTGTTCTCTATCATTGTAACTGCTTTGGCAGATACATGTAAATTTGTATACACAGTTGGTGGTAACATGAAAGGATTGTATTAAAGAACATGTTGTTTTGAACACAACAATTAGTTTAGCTACAGGATAATTTCCTATCAATGCAGTTTTTAGTCTCATATTAATTGACCCTGTGATATCATCACCTTTGGATTTAAGTTGAATAAAAATAGGATTTGGTTGAATATTGGTTCAAAATTTTCATAAAGAGTCTGCAATGATGTGTTTATCCTTAAATTAGTTCTTATTTATTACATATTTTTCAATAGAGCAAAAACAAAGATTGGTGCAGAATAATATGAATTCATTTTATTTCGTTAGGTTCTCATCAGCTGCTTACATCCTAAATTATTTGAAATTCAACATTATTACAGATATTGACATATTTATACATAAGAGTGTGAATAAGGATCAATACATGTGTATGATGATGTAGAAAATATTCAGATAGAGTTAATGAGCTCATAAAATGTTTGATTCGAATAAATAAATAAAGTTAGAGAGGGAAAGTTCTGGAACATTGAAATAGTGATTAGAACTCATGAAAGTAGATTAATTGTAATAAAGAAAATATGAATTAAAATCAATCATTTATGTATGATGTAATTTAAACTTCAGAAAGAGTTGGAAGATGGGGAATGACGTAATAAATAAATAAATAAATAGGAGCAAATGAATAGAAAGAGTGGGGATTATTGTTACCAGGGTAAAGAAAGATTTATTACTGTCTCTTTTTGTATACATAGATCTGGTTTTAAACGTTTGATTGCTAACGCTTCAGCGAATTTCAAAAGGTTAGAGTTTGGTTGTTTGTTGATCACCTTGAAGGATTTCAGTATATCAACTTCATGTCCTGTATCAAGGAGATGTCTTGCGATAGTACTGTTGAATGCGTTCAATCCATTAACTTTCCCTCTGTTGTATAAATATGTCAATATCTGTAATCATTTGAATTTCAAATAATTTAGGATGTAAGCAGCTGATGAGAACCTAACGAAATAAAATGAATTCATATTATTCTGCACCAATTTTTGTTCTTGCTCTATTCAAGATAATAAAGGGAACTAAGTGTATGAAATTTCTCAAAACGCGTCTCCCTGAACAATCATTCAAGTCACTGAATCGCCTGGTGACAATACGCTGCAGAATATCGAGAGAAATAACTCGGTTCAAGTTTTTTGATGAATGTCTCAAGTCATGCCGTTTTTTTCACGTCAGTTCTTAAAGTCTCTATGCTCATTTAAACTTCCGCCTTCTGTTAAAAATCTTAGACGCATCACAAAATCTCACAATGAATCAACAAAGTTACTGATTGAACGTTTGAGGGCAGAAACTAATGCCTTTGATGAATTAATCAACAATCTAAGTATCGTATGTCGCATAAAATTTATCAACTTTATACAAGATCTGCAAAGCAAAATATGCAAGAATTCCCACATAACTTTGTCAAAGACTCTGTCAAAGGAACACTTATGTTTTGGCTTTTCGGAAAACCCCGAAAAGTTTCTCTATAATCTATCAACAATGCAGTTAAATCAGATAGAAACAGAAACCTTGTCACTTGGATTTAAATTTCATATCCCCAAAACACATGCCGACAGAATCGACACAGAAACTCAATTTGAGAATTTATTTAATCAAATTAAAGAGCTGCACCCAGTTAGTGAAGAAAAGAAAGGCTGGCTTAAATCTAAACTAGTCGATATTGCAAACCAATATCTTGTTTCACCCACACCACAGTCTAAGCTTCTATCCAAAGACCACCAAATAGCATTACGAAATATTAAACGAAATGACGATATAATGATATTACGGACAAACAAAGGCTCAAGTGTTGTTCTAATGGACAAAAGAGATTATGTCTCTAAGATTAAGTCCATCTTGAATGACCATATGAGATTCAAGTTAGAAAAAAGTAACAAAGACTTAACTGATTCCATTGAGAAAAGAATCACCAAAGTACTCAGAGATCTTCTGAAAAAGAAGATGATCGATAACCCTACTTACAATAATCTACGACCTCGTGGGTCTCGTTTGCCCCACATGTATGGATTACCGAAAATACATAAACAAGGTTATCCTCTTAGACCTATTTTGTCAATGATCAATTCACCATACCACAAATTTGCACGATGGTTGGCAGATAAGCTAGAACCAGTGCGTCAACGATTAGCCACCTATACACTAAAGGATTCATTTGTATTTGCTGACAGCATGAATCACATAAATATTGCTGGTAAGGTTATGGTTTCTTTTTATGTAACATCATTGTTTACAAAAATACCACTTCTTGAAACCATAGACATAATTTGTCAACATTCTGACATCCTACCTCTACCAGTACCAGAACTCAAACGACTATTACTCATTTGTACAAAAGATGTTCAGTTCCAGTTCAACGATATCAAATACAAACAAACCGACGGTGTAGCGATGGGAAGTCCGTTAGGTCCTGTCCTAGCAGATATTTTCATGGCTAACCTCGAAAAAACCAAACTCAAACGAGCGATTTATGAAATGACGTATTATTCGAGGTATGTTGATGATACCTTCATCGTATGTAATAATAAACAACATGCAATAAATCTGCTAGAGTTTTTCAACAAAGCACATCCGAATATCCATTTCACTATGGAACATGAAAAAGAAAACAAGTTCCATTTTCTCGATATCGCGATGAAAAGAAGAAAAGATGGTACGATTCAACGTTCAGTTTATAAGAAAGACACATGGAATGGTAGTTATCTTAATTTCAATAGCTTTTGTCCAATCAGTTACAAAAAGGCACTGGTCAAAACACTGTTTCACAGAACAGAAAGAATTTGTACTTCCGATACACTAGAAGAGGAAGTTAAGAATGTTAAAAAATGTTTAAAGAATAACGGATACCCACTGGAATTTATTGAAAAATACGGCAAATGTGAAGATAAAAAAACCGAAAGAAATTACAGCAAATAAAAAGCCTATTTTTATTCAACTTCAATTCAAAGGTGACGACATCACAGGATCAATCAATATGAGACTAAAAACTGCACTGACGAGAACTTATCCTGCAGCAAAATTGATTGTCCTGTCCAAAACAACATGTTCTTTGACACAATCAAAGGTCGACAGGTATCCCTTTCATGTTACCACCAATTGTGTATACAAATTTACATGTACCTGCCAAAGCAGTTACATTGGTAGAACACAAAGGAGAGCCTACGTCCGATTCAAAGAACATATTCCGAAAAGTTTAAGGTTAAATGGATTAAACACATTCAACAGTGCTATCGCAAGACATCTCCTTGATACAGGACATGAAGTTGATATACTGAAATCCTTCAAGGTGATCAACAAACAACCAAACTCTAACCTTTTGAAATTCGCTGAAGCGTTAGCAATCAAACGTTTAAAACCAGATCTATGTATACAAAAAGAGACAGTAATAAATCTTTCTTTACCCTGGTAACAATAATCCCCACTCTTTCTATTCATTTGCTCCTATTTATTTATTTATTTATTACGTCATTCCCCATCTTCCAACTCTTTCTGAAGTTTAAATTACATCATACATAAATGATTGATTTTAATTCATATTTTCTTTATTACAATTAATCTACTTTCATGAGTTCTAATCACTATTTCAATGTTCCAGAACTTTCCCTCTCTAACTTTATTTATTTATTCGAATCAAACATTTTATGAGCTCATTAACTCTATCTGAATATTTTCTACATCATCATACACATGTATTGATCCTTATTCACACTCTTATGTATAAATATGTCAATATCTGTAATAATGTTGAATTTCAAATAATTTAGGATGTAAGCAGCTGATGAGAACCTAACGAAATAAAATGAATTCATATTATTCTGCACCAATCTTTGTTCTTGCTCTATTTAAGATAATAAAGGGAACTATGTGTATGAAACATATTTTTCAATTGAACTCTTCTCTTAAGTAAATCTACTTTACAATTTATGAGAATAATTGTATTATATTAATAATGATCTGTTTTTTCCATTTTAGACGCTATAAAACGTACTGTATTCGGTATATTTTTACAGTTTTTCCCATCAGCTCAAGGTAAATAATTTCAATAAATGTGATTAATTGGTGTTTTGTAAGATTTTTTTATTGGTTGAGATCATGAACCGATTGATGTTAGACCACAATTGAAAACCTGGAAGCCCTGGACGGCCGTTTCATCCTATTGTGGGACTCCTCAGCAGTGCGCATCTATGATTCCGCTCACTATTGGTTAGCTTCGTGAGGGAATTCTCGGAGTTCTAGTGAGAAGCTGTGACCAGTGGAGCTAATCCGTGTCGGGTAGAGAAAAGTATCTACCTTAGTACAATAGGTAGTCGCGCAATCTCGTGGATTGGTCGAGGTTAGACATTAACACCGTTGAATGCCGGTTCAGTGGTCTAGTAGGTTAAGCGTTCACGCGCGAGACTGAAGGCCATGGGCTCGAATCTCGCGGGCGGGATCGTGGGTGCACGCTGCTGAGTCGTCCGGTAATAGGACGAAATGGCCATCCAGTGCTTCCAGGTTTTCATTGGTAGTCTAACATCAATCGGTTCATGACTTCGATCAATAACTTAACAATCTCCACAACCCTATACTGATGTTTTCTTTAGACAAAACACGTTCATTTATTTGAAATATAGTTGGTATTTTAAATATGAGTGAACTAGGTATTTTTACATAAGCGGAATAATACTTCTTACCTTATATAGTTTCAGTTATGTACAAAAGTGGTCAGAGTAACTCATTCATCAGAAAGAACATTTGTTTACTTCTGTCTGTAAAGTATCCGATCATCTGTTCATCTGTGGGTATATAAGGGATTCTAGCTCAGATTTGTTTCAGTTATTTCGGCAATTATTTATATGCAGGTTGGGAAACTGCTTAGATACATAGATTAAAGCAAATGGTTTCCTTAGAGGAACATTACTCACCATTCGAATTCAAGGTCTAATCTGTAGGGCGATGTAGCAACATCAGGAAGTGCAATGTCGTGGTATTCAGTGACCAAAGTATGTTAGTAAGCTACTCTTTGAACTTGAGTCCTCTAGCCCATGTACATCGTTGTGCTTGGAATCAAGACTTCCCAATTTCTCTTGGTGGACCTTCTGTATCCATCAAGCTGGTTTAGTATTCAGAATTTCTCTTTCCATCCTCTCAAACTCTTAAAATCTATCCTTGCCACTTTAAGTTAGTGATTAGGAATTGCATGGCAGGGACACGTGATCATATGATACTATTTAGAGTAAGATGGTACTTTCAAGTATACCGGGGGATTCAATGTGGCTATGGCACTTATAATTGCCTAATTTTTGTATGAAGACTACAATAACTACATCGGTGCTCAATTATTATAGTGTATTATGGTCTCCTACAATCCTTCAGTTAATAAATTAGTAAACAAACAGAGTTTTCTGTTGACTACAGCCAGTCATCTTAAATTGAGTAGAAGTTTATTCACGTACCTGTAATTCGAAATGCTTATATATTTTGCGGATTTCCAAACCAAAGTGTACGTGTTACGGAGTTTTTAAACATTTCACCTAATTTATGAAAACCAAATCCTGACCGTTGCTGCTACCTTGACGTGGTGGTCAGGTTTGCCTATCGTAATGAACCAATCGAGCTATACTGGCTGGAACAATCGTTCCTCAAGGTCCTACCATACCAAGCAGGTCGGTTGAAGAACGTTGAGACTATGAGCAGCAAACCCAAGGTCCGAAGGCGCAGTCGTACTGCTGACTGTACAGAGGTGTGATGGCGGTAAGTTGTTTGCTTCAGACAACCAGTCGACCCTAAAAATGCACATCCCACCTTATTCCACGGTTATCCGTCTCCGGCGGTAAGGTCTCAACAAGTGCGGAGCTAACACAAACATTTCTCACAAAAAAGGTCGTGTGTGACCGACCCTTGGCAGTTGTTCGTTGGGCACTGCGGTCACACTCTCAGGTCACTAAGACCAACTTTAATCCAATTTTCTTTTTCAGGTACATCCAAAATAACTGCTTTAACTACTAAGTCATCAATGTATGTAATTTTGATCATTAGTGTAAATAAGATGTTGGGGATTATTTTTTCCTCATCATGCGTAACATTGATAGCAATAGTAAAAATGGTAATAATTCATTCTTATAATTGTTAAATACCATACTTTCTTAGGTATAATGTAAAATCAAACTTCTATTTTGAGGTCTGAATTAAACATGTGATTATTGTAGTGTGTCTGTATGTGCACTGTATATTTAAAGTGCAATATAATTGAATTAAGAACTACTATAAATAAACAATAATAGACATTTAAAAAAATCTACTTTAAGTCCATTGTTACAATGGGTATACATTAATCATTTCTTTTCTAATTGTCTTTTTCATTTTGTTATTGTCCATTAATAAACTTCTCATTGAAATTTCTGTGTTCCTAATTAATTGTTTATATAGGGTGTTTTAGTGTTGCATGTAGTACTATTGTCTGTTATTGATTGATCCATTTCACACCTTCATTTATATTAATAATAATAACAATAATTTTGTTTTGAATCAGATGAGATTAATTTTTTAGTGCTAGATCATTAATAAGTAGTAAAATGATTTCAATTTACAATCGATTTTTAAAAAAAACACTAGAACAAAAAGTCAACTCATTTAGAAATGTATACTAACATAAACAATGTATAAGAATATGAGAGAACAGATTAGTAAAGTCCTATGAGCGGGATCATAGATGCACACTGCTGAGGGGTCCCACAATGGGACGAAACGGTTTTCCAGTGCTTGCAAGTATTTAATGGTGGTCTAACATCAGTTGGTTCATGATCTTAATCAAAGCCCCCAAATGCCCTGGTACGACCAAGAGTGGGGAGAGCCCGCTCTCCCTCTCGAAATGCTCTCACATGGTCACGCGTATATAGCCTCTGTCAGGGAAGTCCTGCTCACTGCCTTCTCGTGGCAATACTGTTGTTTACGAAATTGAGAGGACGAAAAGCGGTCGGGTTGGTTGATATCGAAGATCCAGCTAGGGGAGTTGGAAAACCCTGATTCCAAACCAATGGTGCACATGGGCTGGCTCGAGTATCATGAAGGAAGAAATGGCGTATGAACCAATCATTGGTCACCAGCTACCATGGGACTGAATCTCCTTACGTTGCACCAGTGCTCTGTGGATCAAACTTTCATGTCGAAGGCTCCGGGTGTGGTCCCCTAAGAAATCCACCTGTTTCGGTTTGGGCATCCGGGCCGTATCGCTGTCCCCACACATATCAAATGAGATCTGTGTGGCGCATATGTATTTGGTGCCTCCTTGTACCAATATCTATGTGTTAAAATAAAGAAAAATCTCAATCAAAAGATTAGTAAAGGAATTGTTTTTGTATTAATAAGATGAATTTTGAAGTCATATTATTGTGGTACAAACTACAGAGTATAATCTCTATGACTACTTACTGTTAAGCTTTTTTCAATATATTCCCGTTCATTTTAGCTAACATCATCATACGTTTGTGTAGAAGTTTGTATCACATTTTTCACTCCTAAATAAAGTGGTTTAACTGTTTCTTTCCCCTGAATATTATACTTTCATAATCTTAACATAGGTTACTCTAGGTAGTTTCACTGATAATGGTAAGCAGTAAGTGGAAGACATCAATAATATAACCTTTACAACTTGTGACAAAATAAATATCCGTAATTAGTTATAATGTGTAATCCGTGACTCGTTTGGCTTCAAAGACCATATATCCTTCGTTTATGATCAAACTCATGGTCACCCGGAGTAGACCGACGGGCTTCAATGAGTTGTAAGGAACCTGCAGAAACCCAATGCTTATAAGTGGGAGGTTTCGCAAACCCACAACTGACTGTACCCGCCATTTTCATGGCGTCATGCAATTGCAACCAATGCTCATCTATACTTTTCGGTGGAGTGATAACTTGCCTAGAAACTAGCTCGGTTTGATATTTACTTGTAACAGAAGTTGCAACCAACTTGCTAACATCAATCCATTGGTGGCGGTCACTTCGTTGGCCACTGAAAAGTAAGGCAAGATTGGTGCAGACCAAAGCATGGTCATAGTCCAGATAGGTCTTCGAAAAGGAGCGGCAGTCTTGTACACAACCACGCCAGCGGTAGCTGATCGCGATGTGATCAATCTGAGTCCAGGCTTGGGATGCAGAGGTAGGACGCCAGGTGGCACATCGGCGATGACTGTGCCGAAAGTTAGTGCTAGTCAGAAACAGGTTGTGGTCTGTGCAAAGTTGCAGTAGACAGTCCCCGTTATCTGACCTGCGACCAACGAGTCCCCATCGGTCACCTAGACGACTCTCTTCTGTGCTTAGACACCCGACCTGAGCATTCAAGTCTCCGGCTAGTACTACAATATCTGTCGAACGCACTTTCTGGAGAAGAACAGATAACTGGTGGTAAAACTCATCCTTGATTGCATCCGGGCTGCAATCTGTCGGAGCATAGGTGGAGATGACGAAAAGACATCGTTTCTCACGCCGATTTATTCTCACTTTGATGGAACTTTCTATTCTAACAGCACATAACCGACTGTTAATGGGGATCCAATCTATTAGTGCTGCCTCAGCTCTAGCGCTTATTGCGACACCAACGCCAGCAAGACCAGACGAAGATGCCACAGGGTCCCCGATTAAGCGCACGTAAAACAAGCTTTTTGAATCGACAGATGTAGATTGAATTTGTAGTACTTGGCCAGAGTCTTGAATACGGGTCTCGGATAGACAGCAGACATCGATATTAAGACTTTCCAAAGACAGCCAGTCCTATCTGTTGTCCAACCTGCATAAATGTGCGAACGTTGAAGGCAGCCAGTTTGAATGGTGCACGTGGTTTCAGAAAAACATCTTCAATACTCATATTAGGTGATAACATACAATTTTCAACCGGACAGTGACTCGAGAACGTTTAGATAGAGTCGAATTTCCACCATAGACGAGCTGCTGTATAAGTCGGAAAAAAAATAAGTATAGACAGAGTTGGAATAAAAGGGGGTGAATAATGATGTAGTAAATAATAATAATAATAATAATAATAATAATAATAATAATAATAATAATAATAATAATAATAATAATAATAGCAATAATATTTGAATCATTTGAATGTTTGTCGAAGCAAGAGAATTAGTTTCCATGATAATAAACAGTTCAGTTCATTAGTTGTGTGTAAGCTGTGATACTGCCCGGGTGTCCAAACCGAAGCAGACAATAGCTTTAAATAGTTGAAAAGTTTCAATAATTTATCATTGATTTAACAATCAGTGAAAACCTATTTTAATATACTATCGTTCATAACATATATGTACACATACTTAGCTGTTCACTTGATAGATGGACGAAGTTTGATAATTCTTTTTCCGGCAATCAAGCTGAAAACAGTTTGTCTATTCGAATGATTGAGAATTTTATTACTAGCTTCAAAAATGTGTTGATACCATTTAAAGTGTAAACTTGGTATCTTTGATCTATGGTTAACAATAGAATTTAGGATAGTACTTTTCAAATGGATACATTTGCATTCCAACTCTGATGTTTACGAGTGTTGAATCCAGAGTTGATGTTCACTCCGGTATTCGAGCCCAATACTGTTCTTTTCAAATGTCATTGTGTACTACACTTAGCCACTGAGTCCTAATAACCACTTGCTTGTTCAATGAGGTAAAGTTTTAATTCACTTGGTATTGTTTTACTTGTATCTTCTTATTGTTATTTAATATTGTAATTGATCAGTCTCATTGTTTATTTCTTTAGATACTACCAATCTGATTCTACATGATATTATTCCAACATTAGAAAATTTCCATACAATTAATTATTTATTCAATCCAATTGGTTTTTCTAATCCATTATGTAAAGATTCTATGATGTATTTAACAATGAATCAAATTGAAGGTTTATGGTCTTTACGTAAATGTCTTATATTATTAGATTTACAATATACTTCTATAAATTCTCATTCATTTACATCACTGAATTTAATCAATCCAATGAAAATAAAAGAATGTTCATATGCTATTAATCAATTAAATTTAACATTTATAACAAATTCACATTATTTACAATTTGAACAATCATATTCTCAATGGTCATTATATGAATTAGATAAAAGTATTGGACACTTATTTTCTGCATATTATATTATGCAACATAATAAAACGTTAATACAATCATCATCATTATTATCGGCGTCACCATCATATTGTATTGAATGTAAATCATTCACAAATTTATCATTATATGATATTGATTGTTGTTGTGAATTGTTTAATTGGAATTGGAAAAAATTGAATATATTCCTTTGGAATAATACCATTGATAACTATAAGGTAAATGATTTTGTTTAATGATTGTATTCTATATTGAACTTTTAACGATTAGATTGATCAATATTTTAGCTAAAATTTGGGAGTTGGATGTAATCCCATCTGAATGTTCACAATCACTGATTGTCCCAATATATAAGAAAGGATCAAAATCATCTTGTGATAATCATAGAGGGATTAGTTTAACTAATATAATATCTAACATACTAGCCTCAATAATTATCAGACGCCTAAGACTTGTGAATTGCAAACACGAGAAAATCAAGCTGGCTACAGACCTGGTCGTGGCTGTATCGATCACATATTCATCATTCGTCAGGTTCTAGAACACAGGCATACTTATCGGCGTCCAACAATGGTGGTCTTTCTTGACTTAAAAGCAGCATTTGACTATGTAGACCGCGAGATTCTGTGGCAGTGGTTGTCATTGAAAGGCGTACCTCAGAAGTACATAAACGTTGTGAAGACTCTTTACTCGAACACTACTAGTCGAGTCAGAGCTTATGGCGAACTGTCATCTGCTTTTGCTACCTTAAGTGGTGTCCGTCAAGGGTGTCCACTTTCTCCATTTCTGTTTAACTTCATCATAGACCTACTGATGGAAATAACATTCTCATCGACTGAATTCTCGGGTATTGATCTCCTTCCAGGAGGTTCACTTATCGACTTAGAATACGCAGATGATATAGTCCTGTTTGGTGAAGACGCTGATAAAATGCAGTCTTTTGGTAGCACTAAGCAACAATGCCAGAATGTTTGGAATGCGCTTCTCTCCCTCTAAATGCAAGTTGTTGCTTCAGGACTGGTCTGCGTCAACACCTGAACTAAGAATAGGGAGTGAAGTAGTCGAACGCGTTGACAACTTCACTTATCTTGGAAGTCTGATCAGCCCTAGTGGGTTGGTATGGGACGAAATCTCAGCACTGATTCGATAAGCCCGTTTGGCTTTTGCCAACTTACGTCACCTATGACGAAGGTGAGATATCCGTCCATCAATAAAAGGACTAGTATAATGCGCGGCAGTTCGTTCTCTTCTACTTTACGGCTACCAGTATTTGATCCCAGATGCCTTAAAAATATTGATTGTGTCTTCTGGGATCACCGAATAAGTGGTAGTGAGGTTAGACGAAGAGTATTAAAGAATGATGATAATTCAGTTGATGAGGTTGTGAATCTTCATCGACTGAGATGGTTGGGCCACGCGTTTCGTATGCCTGAACACCGATTACCACGACGCTCTATGCTGACTAGTGCTGAGGATGGTTGGAAGAAAGTTAGGGGTGGCCAAACCAAAACGTGGCATCAGTGCTTGAAGTCACTAACTTCTAGTCTGAGATATGTTGGTAGATGCAGACTACTTAATTGGGGTCCGCTTGACTATCATAGCCAATGGTTGGGGACTGTGTGTGACATGCCTCAGAATCGAACACAGTGGCATAGGTGTATACACTTTTTGTCCTCCCTTAAACTGTGAGATTAAAATTATTTTATACCTTTTATTTTACAAACTAATTATTTCTTCCTGTATTATATCCTTACGCTCAATCTTTTATATAATATCACTATTGAGTTAACTGCTTCTATGAATTTGTTGTCAATCTTGTTGTGCTAATGCGGTATGGCAACTTGGACCGATGCATATATGTTCCTGGTCCTACGTTGTGGTTGACTGACGGACTGACTTTTGTTAAATAAAAGCGTGTATCCTTCATATATATTCCCTGTGATTTTGTTTATAAATTATTTACCTAAATTAATATTTATATTGTTGAGGTGAATATCGATCTATTTATTTATTTTAACATATAGATATTGATACAAGGTGGCACCAAATACATATGCGCCACACAGATCTCATTTGATATGTGTGGGGGCTGTGATACTGCACGGGTGCCCAAACCCAAGCAGATGGTTTTCTTGGGGGGCAACACCCCGAGCCTTCGACATGAAAGTCTGATCCACAGAGCAGTGGAGCAACGTAAGGAGATTCAGTCCCATGGTAGCTGGTGACCAATGATTGGTTCATACGCCATTTCTTCCTTCATGATACTCGAGCCAGCCCATGTGCACCATTGGTTTGGAATCAGGGTTTCCTAACTCCCCTAGGTGGGTCCTCGATATCAACCAACCCGGTTAAAGCGCCGGACGTCCGCTTTTCGTCCTCTCAATTTCGTAAACAACAGTAATGCCACGAGAAGGCAGTGAGTAGGACTTCCCTGGCAGTGGTTGTATGCACGTGGCCATGTGAGAGCATTTCGAGAGGGAGAGCGGGCTCTCCCTACTCTTGGCCGTGCTAGGGCATTCGGGGGCAAACCTTTTACACCGTTGAAGGGACCCGGTTTGGCTTGCCATTCACGGGATTACTGCCTGGCATGTACCTGGCTTCGTGCTGGACTGCATGTACTCTGACTTAGCGGTAAATATCCCTGGCTGTAGCATTAACCATTAATTCAATGCATTTGGGAGCCCAATGTATGGGATTATTGGCGCACAACTTTGAGCGGTGCATCACTCGGCCCGTGTATCGATGACGAGTGCAGCCAACTGTGTGAATTAATGTGAACTGCATACTGCTTTGAACATCGACATCTTGAACGCATATTGCGGCTGCGGGATATCCTGTGGTCACGCCTATTCGAGGGTCGGCTTTTCATCTATCACGTTGCACATTAATTCGTGGGTTGGGCAAGTGCCTGCCGGCGTGTATACCCGTATATCAACGCGGGTTGCTGGTCAAAGGCTCCGTCCTAATAATCCGCCCACAACCTAGTCCGGTCTAGATGACTTGATTGAGATGCTGCGGTGGGTTGTGCTCGAGTCGTGGCTTAATGACAAATATCGATCTAGTCACAAGTTTGAATTCATTCTACATACTTCAATTCAAGTAGTTGAATAGCATCAATAATTCTTTCTAAACTTAGCTGCTGGCTTAACATTTTTGTTGGGATTGCCTATCATGACTATCTAACTGACTTATACTGCTTGGAACACTCGTTCCATCCGGTCATAAAATATAAGGCAGGTTGGTTGTATAGTGGTAATAATAAACGCGGCAACTTAAGGTTTGAGGGCAAACTCGTTCTGTTTATTTTAATGGGCTTTGACAGTGGGTCGACAAGAATACTAACCATCTTTCCTTTTTGGTTACCTCGTGAATAAGTATCCTTACACTGTGTGAGCAACTGCAAAGTGACGACTGTCCACTCACAATAAAAGTACTCACGATCTTTTTGTTCACAATCAATAACTCTTGTATAAAATGTTTAATTAAAATTTTATTTGGCAAATGAGTTGAAAAAGATGTCAGGATTTGAATATGAAAAAAGCTTGGTATGGTGGAGAATCAGTGGATGTGTTTTAAAAAATGAGTTGACAACTTAAAGAAGAAACAAGACATTTAAAACCATGTAATCAATCATTTAATCTAATATTATAAGTTTCATTCAGTTAGGAGGAACATCTTGTTCTGTACGACGTATACAGCAGTATTTGTACAGATTTTTATTCTAAACCAAGCTTGACAGAATAAAATATCACTGTATTATGGAATTGTGTTGGGGAATTAGTGACTAACCAACGGATCAATACTAATCCAATACAGCTATCTTTGCTTCTATGGCTCCATGTCAGATTCCTCTAGCTCATGTACGCGACTCGTTTGAAACTAGAATTCTCCAGCTCTCCTAGGTAGACTCTCGTATCCACTTATTTAGTTTTATCACCCGACATTATTTTTCATCCTGATATTTGTGGAAATGCCGTCGCTTTATGAAGGGAGTGAATAAGACAATTCTGAAATAAAGTGTTGATCCATGAATTTATTAGAGCACTTTAAGAGTGAACGAAGACATCCCCCAACCGCTGCCGTACTGGGATGTTTGAAAGGACATAGTCGTCTAGTGTCTCCATTATATCAGTAACGAGATTTAAAAATGCTTCAAATTGTAGGACTAACTCTCATGATGTCTATGACTATGTCGATAACTATTAACTACACTTTGGTACCATGCTGTCACAACTGTCTTTTTTGTCTTAGCCCCGGGCACTCTTAAACATAAACCTTATACCGAACATTTATTCGGTAGAGACCAAAACAGATCATTCCAGTTAATTTTTTCCCCCAAATGCCCTGGTACGGTCGAGGGTGAGGAAAGTCCGCCCATTCTATCGAAATACTCTCACATGGTCACGCGTATACGGCCACTATCAGGGAATTCATACTCACTCCATTCTTGTGGTTAGGGTGTTGTTTACGAAATTAATAACACGAAAAACAAATGTCCGGCTCTTTAACCAGGTTGGTGGATATGAAGGATCCACCTAGGGGAGTTGGAAAACCCTTATTCCGAACCAATGGTTCATATGGGTTCCAGTATCCTGTAGGAACAAATGGTATATGAACCAATTGTTGGTCACCTACTACCGTGGTACTGCATCTCCTAACGTTTCTCCATTGCCTTGTGGATTAGGCCTCTAGGTTATTTGGTATTTGGTACTTGGTACCTTCTTGTACCAATACCTATGTGTTAAAATAAATAAATAAACAGTTGATTTTTAACAAATTTGCCAAATTGAACCAATGTTACAGACAAACAATTGCACTGAATTAATTAGTACAAATGAAAGTGCACTGAAAGTTAATTTAATGAAAATCACTCTAAACAAATATTTGGTCTTACAATCGATTTTTGTCTAATGTGTTTTATTTATGGATTTAACATCCCTAACGCATACTTAACTTACTAATAACCATGAGTCATTGGTTCAGTAATTTAACTTTTTAGTTACTAGGTGACGGGTTCGAACCTCGCTACACTTTCTTTAGCTCAATTAATATTATTAGCCCTCAAACTTACATTATGTTTCGAAGTCAGGTATATAATTCATATCTGGTTGATGAGTCAGTTAAAAAAAACTGATTTTATTGACTTTTTATATTTACCTACCGTGTCGTGTCCTATTGAATAGCAGTCTAAATGTTTGGTCAGTCAGTCAGTAAGTAA